AGATTGTAAATAAAGGCACGGAACAAAGTGAGTGACCTCACTACTGTTAAGTACTGTTTATCAAACGGGGAATATTGAAACGATTTGGACTTTCCGATTAAATCGAAAAACAGTGTGTGATAAATAAAAGCAATCAAATTAGTGTTCATTGTCAGTAGTATAGTGATTTACATTCTCTTTGGACTTCTGCGCCCTGTACTTGCCCCGTAGCAACAAACGAGCAGATAGATAATAGTGTTGTTAATTGTTGCTAGATATCAACTAGAAATACCTCGTACTTACGCACCTATAATGGCCTATTACAACGATATTGTTTTCGAAAATGACAAAGTAAAATGTATTGTTTGTTCCGTCACAATACAAGATGACGATTTAGCTGTAGAGCGGCATGTCAATGGAAATAGCCATAAAAACGAGAAAATCAAAAGAATACTCTTGCAGCAAAGTGTTCTAATGGACACTGATAATCGTTTCTACTGCTCTCTTTGTGATGCTCTTATTATGGGGAATAGTGTAGTAAACCATTTACAAAGCTATGATCATAAAAAAATAGTTCAAGAAGTAAGGGTTGTAATTAAAGAAGATGGATACTTCATGTACTTGCCTGAAATTTACAAGCACACTAAAGTTTATTGTGTTATTTGTGACCGTGAAATCGAATATACAAAAAGAAAATTGATAGAGCATCTACAGTCCCCACGTCACATGAGAACTCGAGCAGTAGCTTTACAACCTTATAACGGCATATTTTCAGTAGAGGGAGATAACGAACATTTGTGGTGCAAATTCTGTCAAAGATATTTTAAGAATTACATAGAATTGATTTTTGAGCACACTGATAACAGTAATCATGTCACGAACGTGGCTAAAATATTGAATCTCATAAAAATTGAGCATATTTCCATAGAAAAATATTTATCTGATCCCAAAGAAGACAAAGCTTACTGTCGGAAATGTGATACGCATGTAGCATGTAATATCATGAATCTTGAATCACATATAAAAGGAAGAATTCATAAAAAATAATTTTTAAACAATGTCTTCTATAGTTTTTAAAGGATCATAGATATTGGAATGTGTTGGGTTTGGTTACCGGACAGCGGCTTCTACTTTTTTATACCAATTAGGTATTTTATTTGTTTGAAAGTAAACTGCAATCTATGCTCGTTTTCTTTAATAACTAAAACTTGATTTTCTTTATTATTGGTGTTATTACGCGTGTATTACCTAGATGATTTTTAAGTAAATAATTAAATACATCCTGCCGATTTTTAAAAGGTGAATCATTTTCTCCACCAAAAATCACTGCTAAGAAATGGCTAAGAAGAATCATATGCACTACTCTATTTGATAAAATGAAATTAGATGTAAGCTCTAAAGGCTCTTTGTCTATGAGTAATGAAATGGCAAAATATTCATTAAATGGGGAACTACCTGCATTCAAGATTCGTGGGAATTACCCATAGATAATAAACTGTACACAATAAACTGTAGGTTGCCTAGGTTATTCCTTTCCCTTCTCAAGTTTCCCTTGGAAAACATCAACTCACTTCTGATGCAGTCGGTAAACCCTACACATTATGAGTTCCGTACTTAAGAATACCTTCGATTTTTGTAGAAATTATCACAAATAGCATCTAAAATCTAATATATAAAATTCTCGTGGTACGGTGTGCGTAATTGAACTACTCCGAAACGGCTCGTCCGATTTTCGTGAAATTTTATATGCATATTCAGTAGGTCTGAGAATCGGATAACATCTATTTTTCATCCCCCTAAATGTTATGGGTGGTCCACTCTTATACTATAATTTTTGTGTGGTACAATTTTTTTTTGTTTATGGTAGGTACATCATAATATAATTAAAATACATACAACCCTAAATTTTCACCCTTCTACTAGGTATGTCGAAAGTTGAAAAATCGATATATCGATATTTTAAAAAATATTCGATATATCGGACCAATTTTCCCAAAAATATCGTACAGTAGCTCACGAAATATGACACGCGGAATAATAATGGAACGAAAATTATTTCCCTAAAAATAGACTCTATTTTCGAATGATGACATAGACAATACTAAATACAGCACAGATCATAGATATGTTGAATATCATTAATCTGAGATCCAGTTACGATTTTTCCAGATACGAATTTAGTTAGATCGTGATATGCCGCTAATAATTAAAAAAATATCGTTTTTGATACGAATTTCGATATTAGTTATTTTGTATCGATGTATCGAGATATCGAAACAAAATATATCGGCAAAAAATATCGATATATCGAACAAAAAATAGCGATACATCGATATATTTTCAACAAGCCTACCTTCTACCACCAATCCCTATTTTTTTTATTGCGGTACGAAGTTCGCTAGGCAAGTTTACTCATGTCGAATTGTATTAAATAAATGTTTATTTCTTAAAGTATTTAGTCTAAGGAACCTTAATATATCGATTTCGCTTCATAAAAGATTGCTGTAGAAAAAAATATTTTTTAGTCTATATTTTTTAAACACTAAAAACGCTGTTCGCCACATCCGCCATGATTTTGTCGTCTCTTGTGGTAAACAACTAAATGTCATTCGCGTAGGTGGATTCTTTCGTCTGACTAAATTTATCATAACACTTTTAACTTTAGGAAAGAAAAAAACAGTAAACTTAGTTTTTTTTGACAAAACTAATTATGGATGCCGGCTTTGTGAAAGCAGAAAGCACAAATCTGCCAAGAATTGACGCATTGATGGTTGGTGAATATGTTGCACTAAACCCCGATTTCTGCTCTGCGGAGCAGAGAAACGACAAGGCATCTATGTAAAAACAGTGCATTTAGTATTACAACATTGTAATACTAAATACACTGTACTTAATTACTACATAGTAATAAACATAAAACTGATACAACATATGAATAAGTGTAATAAAGTTGCGTAGGTTAATTTCTTTCGGCACTTTAATCCACATCTTTCCTGGGGTCTTCAAGGATGTGTTTTTATATTCTCGTACAATACATTAATGATAATTACTTTATTTTTCGTGGTACTTATTAGAAATCATGTTTTTGACGTGACAACGTCTTAAATTAGGTTGCGGCTGGGAGTCACTTATGAAAAAGTGTAACGCTCGGTAACGTTACGATGAGTCTCTCGTGTTAAGTTTAAGTTTACATGTACAATGTTTTAGTAAACAAAATATATTTCTATAGTTAAAATTTGTGCAATTCTTATTTTCATTCAATTCCTTGTTCCTATTGTGCAATTTAATTATATTCATATCAATAAATATTCTACCGAGAAAAAGACGTTGTCACGTAAAATCTTCGCCCGTAAAACCGACTTTACAGGCAACCATTTTTTTTTATTATAAACTCAGTTAAAAGTAATTTTCTACGTGTTTACGAGTTTTTGTTTACCACAGTTCACATCATAGCATAGATAATCTATAGACTAAAATGGCCGACAGCGTTTTTGTATGTCCATGAAAAGTCTATTTTAAAATAAAAGATTTGTAGCTTTCTAGGTTTAAAAAAAATACAATACATTTTTTTTCGGTCTAATAGAACATTTATTAACCATGTAAAACCTTTTTCCAAAAAGGGTCAACTAGCCTATTATAAAAAGACACAATTTTCAAAATCTCCAACATATTCAATAAAATGGTATCGATTCTGGCATGATTCTCTAAAGCTAAACTTAAATTTGACAACAGTGTATCTTTGTCATTTTCTATACAGACTGAAAAGGACAGACTGATGTCAAATTTAGTTTTAAGTTTAGAGAATCCTGCCAGAATCGACACCAATATCTGACACGTCAGATAAATCTGACATGACAGATAATACTATTGGTCTAATTTACATCCTTGGTTGTGATTGGTTGTATCAAAAATCACGTGATTTCCGTAGCGAATTGTTAATAACATAAAGGTGCACATTTACATGTGAACGAATAATTAAGTTAGTTTTCATTAAGGGACTGCATAATTATTTTTTTTCGCATCCTACTTTAGCTGCTTGGGACTATTGGGATGTAAATCAACCAACAAGCTTAGAATGTGAAATATTATAACTGAAGCTCCAAAAGTTTTGTTGTGTAATCTATGTGACACAAGTACGAGTATGACATGAGTACGGCGGATAGTTTAGACTCTTCAGGTACGGAACCCTTAGGAATAGTACTAGGCCGTTGATGTTTTAAAGTTATAGATACGTCATACACGCTTCTATGTGTGATTTTATATAGTACATAAATTAAAAGAAAAATATTAATTAATTACTTATTTTGACAGTTGCTGATATCGTTGACACGTGGAGTCTAAAGAGCGAGATGTATTGTAGTCTGCTTTATGAATGAGTGTGAAAGAGACTACTTTAGTGCGCTCTGTTGGCGGCTTTTGCCAAGGGAAGTTGGGGCGGAGACCACTTGAGCCATTTTAAAGTGCAATAATGTTGGCGTATAACCTGTCTATATATTAAACGTCATTATACTATTCCGTATACACTCAGTATGCCTTACTTTCATTTATATGGAGAATTATAACAATTAGCCCTGCTCTGTTCACAAACTTACAATATATCCTAAGTCTGTGGGTTTTGTCACCTTTTTTGGCGGGATATCATCCAGTGCGGTTGGCGTCTTAATTTAATTATTCTTAAATTCATTCATAGTAAATGCTGTGAATTAAAATTGATGTGATTTTGTGTTACAACCGTCTGCGCAACTGAAAAATTAGTGGAATCTTTAAAATATACCCTATTCCGGTCAAATTCCGGTGAGAATTTTATTGTAGTGTTGACTACCTCACAGAAGCTCACCGGAAAAGCCAACTCGATCCATATCGTGCCAAGCACTCCAAGAAACATTAGAATGAGTCACACTGACACTCTATGTAAAAAAAACAAAGATTAATATAACTACAGTTTTGGTTGTATGGGCATTGCTCCCTTTGCCTGCCCTGAAAATGGAGAATCTTAAAAAAAAAATTGGTTGCTTGTCATCTGTCATTGTCGTAAAAATAAATTTCGAGAAATTACGAGTGGTCAACTTAAATAAAATAACTATTAACTCTCGATTCCGTCTGATTCCCTTTTTAAACACTAAAGCCGATTTAAACATAAAAACTTTATAATGAAAACGGGTTTCCTTTACGGGATAGTTGCAAGTTCGAAAACACGAGTCCGCTGCCTATTCTGCGGAGTCCATATACCTAAGGCGAATAAGTGTATCGAACAGCACACAAACGGCGCAAGGCACAAGGAAAACGTCGAGCTCATGACTGAAAATGGTATCACTTTCAAGAATAACATACTTTATTGCAAACCTTGCAAATTGGAACTGTCGTTAGAGGATTCCATGATGCAACATATCGACGGTGACAGCCATTCTAACTGGATCGTTGCTATGGAAGATCTTATAGATGGTGAGTTCATCTCAATCGAGCCATATCTGACTTCTGAAAAAGAAGACGCATACTGCGAAGTTTGTCATTCCCCCTTTCAATGCACTTTGCAAAATATTGAGTCACACGTGAATGGTATAAACCACAGAACTAATATAACGGAGCATTTGAAACCCCTGAATGGTATTTTTCCTGTTGAGAATGATGATGAGGTGTGGTGTAAAATTTGCAATACATTTATTGACAATTCACCTCAAAGCATTCTGGAACACATTGATGATGACGAACAGCACATGTTTTGGTTCTCCTCTATAGAGGATTTAATAGAAGAACAAGATATTACCATTAAAAGTTTCCTGGCAAACGAATTTGACAATAACGCTTATTGTAATAGATGCCACCAAGAAATTAATTGCAATACAAAGAGTTTGGAAGATCATATTAATAGTGAGGCTCATCTCACTCATTTTAGTTAATTATAAATTATATTTTTTGGGTTGTTCAGGTAGATATCAATAGATTACCAAAGGTACAACCAACAGTAATGTGGATTTTTTAAACTCATATTCACAAACAACATAAACATCTTCAGAACTACTTATTATTACCTCTGCTGATAGTAGAACTTGTCACCACTTTGTTGCAAAGATATAGATATCTTCTTTTTCCACATATATAGAAATTTTGTAAGTAAAAGCATTATTCACAGACTTCTGATAAAATACTTAATTGCATCCTCGACAATTATACAATTGTTATAAATTGGTATATTGAAAAGTATAAAATACAGCAAACTGTTGTTTCTTTTCTACTGTATTATCTTTGTAGAATCATTTTTTTTTTTATATTGTAATACCATTTTGTGTTCAGTATTCAATTTAAGTTTATAATAGTATAGTATAGACTTTCATATGAATGTAACTTGCACCTATAAAGTTACTATTAGAAGTGATTAAACTATATCATCTAACCATTTAGTCTATACATATGCCTCTATGACAGAATTAGTTTTAGTTAAATCAAATAAAATTAATGTGCCAGTAAAACTAAATTGTTGACGATTCGGACAAAATATATTTGGACACTGTCTGATCAAGATATTTGTTTTTGTCAACTTGGACACAGTCAAGTTATTGAAAAAATTGCAGCTGTTTAATTAAGTTAAAGAAGTTTTTAAAACGTAATATGTTTTTTTTTTTTTTTTTCCTCCTCTGGCAACACTGGCGCAACAGCTGTTTTTGAATTGTCCCAATAGTTTTATTTAATTTAAATAATAAATCTTAATAATTGTGCTCTTAAACCAATAAGAACATTAAATAATGATTAATAACTAAGTGTTAATATATAAAAACGATTGTAAAGTGAGTGAAATTACTTAAAAACGTACTGTGACATTTACCGGCTTTATTGTGAGTCATTGTCATCTGTTTCCAAGATATTTTCATAATTCCAGTAAGTTATTTTTACAAGTTACCTTGACTATTACTTTATTCTATAACAATAAAGTGTGTAAAGCATCAAATAGTTAAAAACTTCGGCATTTTTTTTTTTATAAAATACCTACATAACCTTGGTATTGTTGGTTAAATAAGTCCTGTTGTTTTTAAAAAAACATACATTCATTCAAGTTAAACTAAGATAATATCGTTAATATATAAATATGATGACTCGTAAGGCTCTGTCCCGTCAGGAGGAGTCTAAATTTCAACTGACTTTGAGAGAACTCAAAGCCTCTAAGGATTTATGCGACCAACTACATAAGGAACGGGATGACAATGAGAGGGAATTAATAGAAATTTTAGATAAAAATCAAAAGTTAAAGAGCGAAATGGCAGAACTGCACAAACAGTGTATTGATACTATTGAAGCTCGGGACAGGCTCCAGTTCATTGTAGATGGCTTTGATCAATGTAGAAGTGAATATGACCAAGCATTACAGCGTATTCACATCTTGGAAAAGCAACTACATGACGCAAAAAACACAATATCACTATTAGAAATATCAAAACACAATAAAAATGTCTCGTTGAATCGGAGCTTGTTTGAGGAGTTGGTAGTCAGTGCGCCAGAGATGGTTTCTGTGCCAACCAATAACCAACCAATTGTTACAATAGATCTTACTTGTAATGACAGTAGAAATAACAAATTGGGGGTTGTTGGATGTAACAGGAACAAATTAAAGAAATATGTAAAAATTAATAGATATATTAAAAAAACTCAAAAGTTAGTTAAGCAATCAGACAAAAGATAATTCGTCTTGCATATTGTTAAATAATAATGTAAATAAAAAATACAATTTTGTTAATATAGATAAAAAAAACCCATCCAAAAACATTGCAAAAAATGTAAGTTTTATCAACCTGGTGCATCTTAATATTCAAGGAATGATGGGTAAGGACTTGGAAATTGAATTATTTATGAATTGTAATAATATAGATATTTTTTGTATTACAGAGCACTGGCTAAAAAGTTATCAAAATATATTTAATTTTAATAATCATCAGGTTGGTAGTTCGTTCAATCGAGAAAATGCAATTCGAGGTGGCTCTTTAATATTATTGAATAAAAAACTAAAATTTAAGGAACGAAGAGATATTGTGAGCCTCTCGGTTGAGCGAACAATAGAAATTGCCTGTGTGGAACTGGACCAGCTTGTTGTATTGAGCGTATACAGACCTCCATCAGCATTGTATGATTGTTTTGAAGTTATCATGGATGAAGCTCTTAAAAAAACATACACTACAGGCAAACGGTTGATTGTCTGTGGTGACTTTAATATTGATTTATTAGAAAAATCTAGTTCGTGTACTAAAATAAAAAATTTATTTCAATCATACAATCTGAAAAACTTATTCATTGAGCCTACTAGAATAGCTGCCACTTCGGCCACTTGTATTGATAATATATATACAGATATTATACCACAGAAAAAACAAATTATTAATAAACTAGATAGTGATCATTGTGGCCAGTTGATTACATTTCCGTATCAGCTCAAGCAGGTGACGAAAAAACACATCACTGTTATACCAAAAACTGCTAATCGTGTGGAACGTTTTAAAAATCAATTAGATAGAAAATTGTGTTATCTTAAATATAAAGACAGTCCAAATGATTTATATAATGATTTTTTTAATATATATTGCGATGAATTTAATAATGTTTTTGTACCCAAAAAAATATGTGTTAATGATGCGGTAAATTTTAGTAAGTGGGCTACGCCTGGAATTCATAAAAGTAGAAGAACACTTTATGAACTTTATAATGAACGAAACTCTAACACTAGTGTAAAATTTAAAGAGCATGTTCGTGACTATTCCAAATTGTTTAAAAAAGTATGCCGCTTAGCAAAATCAAATTACTTAAGTTCAAAGATTAAGAACAGTAATGACAAAATCAAAATGACATGGAATATTATAAACAATGAAACTGGAAAATGCAAAACTCGCAAAAATAATTATAACCTAAATATTGATAATAAAAAGGTTACATCAGATATTGAGGTTGCTAAGGTGTTTGAAAATTTCTTTACTGATATTCCAGTTTCAACTACGAAATCTTTGAACTCTTCCCCCATTGCTGCCGAATCAATCTTAAGAGAAAACGTGAAACCTTGTACTAGTTATTTTCATTTTAAACATGTTGACTTTAAAGATGTAATAAAAACGTTTCACCAATTAAATAAAAAGAAAACCGCGGATCTGTGGGGCAATTCCGTTGATGTTTCTAAATCGGTAATTGAGACAATAGCTCCTATTCTAGCTTGCATATTTAATGATTGTGTTGACTGTGGTGTTTTTCCTGACCTCATGAAATACAGTAAAATTACCCCTTTGCATAAAACGGGAAGTACATCAGACCCCACAAACTTTAGACCAATTTCTGTACTACCCACCTTTAGTAAAATTTTTGAAAAAATCATGTTAGATCAAATGCAATCACATTTTAATAAATATAATATACTTCACTGTAAACAATTTGGTTTTACACGGGGTCGTTCAACAACCGATGCCGGTGTTGAACTTATACAACAAATTTTTGACGCCTGGGAGAACTCGCAGGACGCTCTAGGTGTGTTTTGCGACTTGTCCAAGGCTTTTGATTGCGTTTTTCATGAAACATTACTCAGGAAACTCCACCACTATGGATTTAGAGATACTGATCTGGATCTTATTGCATCATACCTGAGAGATAGGATTCAGAGGGTTGACATTAATGGTAATAAGTCTCCGGGTTCGCCGGTTAAGATGGGTGTTCCGCAGGGCTCAATCCTAGGTCCTTTTTTATTTTTAATTTATATTAATGACTTACCTTACTATGTAAGAGATAACCATGAGATAGTATTGTTTGCGGATGATACATCACTTTTATTTAAACTCAAACGCAATGAAAAAGTTACTGACGACGTGAACAATTGTATCTCAAAGGTAGTCCACTGGTTCAATGTTAACAATTTATTACTTAATGAAGGAAAAACGAAATGTATGAAATTTGTATTACCTAATGTAAAACAGGTAAAAACCAGTGTGAATGTAAAGGATAGGAATGTGGGCCTTGTAGACACCACAGTATTCTTAGGGATAACTTTAGATTCTAAGCTTCAATGGGGCCCACATATTGATAAATTGTCAAATAGACTTAGCTCTGCAGCATATGCCGTAATGAAGATACGCCAGTTAACGGATGTAGATACGGCCAGATTAGTGTACTTTAGTTATTTCCATAGTGTAATGTCGTACGGAATTTTATTGTGGGGAAATGCCGCCGACATTCAAACTATTTTTGTGCTGCAGAAGAGAGCTATTCGATCAATTTATAATCTTAAAGTTAAAGAATCATTAAGAGATAAGTTTAAGGAATTTGGAATAATGACGGTCGCATCACAATACATATACGAAAATTTATTACTTGTAAGAAAAAATATTAATTTGTTTCTTAAAAACAGTGATGTTCACACAATTAATACAAGAAACAAAAATAAACTAACTTTACCTGCTACTAGGCTTCACAAAATTAATAATTCATTTAAAGGTCTTTGTGTTCGCTTATACAATAAAGTCCCAAGCAATATCCAAGAGTTAGCCATAAATAAATTTAAAGATGTTATAAAAAAAACACTGATTAAAAAAGCTTATTACAAAGTGTCTGATTATATTACAGACAAAAATGCTTGGGTTTGAACTGTTCCAATCATTCCAACAGGTTTTCTATATTAAATAAATCATAATTGTATTGACGTTGTAACAACATAATGAATTGTAAATGTTGTTACATTAGACCTTTAATGTTGTGGAGTTTTTTTTCGCTCGTTTTTCTCCGCAGCTAAAAAATATGTCCATAACGAGTGGTAGGGAAAAAAAAATTTTTGGACGATTCAAAAGAGTTGTACTATACATCCAATTTGAATAAAGATACATTGATTTCTGATTTCTGATTTCTGTATAAGGATGAAATTAATTTACATATACGTAATCAAATAAAAACTGAAATCTACATGTGAAACGAAAACTCAGGGCAAGGATTATTCTTCTTAAATCGTCATCTCTAGTAGTGTAGGGAGAGGTTTAGCTATGATACCAGTGAAGGAACAGAGGTGCTGGACAGCTGTGCAGGCACGGGTTCAGGCGAAAGATAGGCCAATAAAGTATGTAGGTCCCCATTCCTGAAATGGTAGATTTTTTCTAGCTGGTATGTAGTCCCGAATACTGGGATACAAGCTTATCGTATTATTATGTTTTTGGATGGGGTTTGAAATTATAATGCCAGTTCACTCTTCACAGTTCTTTATTCAGCACATAGTTCGCACAGTTCAATAGTAAGCACATGTTCTTATACGATCGCACAACACACACTTAACAACATGCTTCGTGGACAGGTTTCTGTTACACATTATAGATGAATAGCTCGCGACCAAGTTGTAAGAGCTAGCTCACCCATACTAGTTCAATGTATATCTAGTTCAGTCTCATTCAATTTCATATCAGTATATATATCATTTATCTCATCTCATCTGTTTCATTGGAATCAAGTGACTCAATAGATACATTATGTGTTTCGAATGATGTATGTATGAATGACAGTAAGAGATACAAACACTGCCTCTTGGATTTGAGTAGCTCTATGTACGTATGTATACAAATTTTGTGTTTATTGCTATCGAAATAAGTTTATTTCAATAACATAAAATTAATTAAGTTAGGTGTTGAAAAAAACAACAAATAGCAAAGTGCTTTGAAAACTATACTTTCAAAAGGTTAAATTACAATAGGAAGTAGGTATTAACTTTCTATTAATCATTCTGTGGTATAACTCTTTTGTCAAGCGAGGGAGTCTGATGTGTACACATTTAAACGACTAAGCTGCTACTGAGGCTTTTGAAGTATGCAGTTAGAAGAGCTTTATAGCTCGTATCTTTTCAAAGAGCTATATTTGTCATGGCTATTACAGTGTACTGCCAGATGTCTATGCAACTGTATGCACTTCTATCTGCTTGCAATAGCACACTGTTAGGGCGCAGCGGGGCAGGGCGCATCGCACGCAACCAAAATCCGCGGCAGATTATGCAGCCCGCTGCCACGGTAATAGATAATATTACCGTGCCGCTGCGCCCCGGCAGAGTATGCGATAGTTCATATAAAATACATACGAGCGATTTGAGCGGATTTTTACGCTTCGAGTCGACCTACTGCGGACCGGCATAATGCGCGGTATCCATAAGTACACAACTACACACAATACGCTATGAAACAGGTGACGGTCGTGATGAAAAAATTTTACACTTATTTTCGCGTCAAATTCGTATCGAGCCATAAGGAACTTAGCTCCTAAAGACATAAAACGAAATATATATGTGAATCCGGACACTGTCCAAATATTTTGTGTCCGAGTCATCAACAACTCTTGTATGGAAAACTGGGTGTCATAAGCTGATGTATGTTTCATACTCATATTATCCAGCATTTACAATTTCATTTTTCAATTTTTTTTTCGTCACATTGTCGCTATTTCAGACACCCTACTTATTTTTTGCGCTGGATTTGTATTTAGTACTTTTTTGATAGAACTCGCAAAGCATGAGAATGATTTATTATTAAACTGATTGAAAGTAAAAAGACAATTTGTAATACTGATATTAAATTTAATAAGTTTATATAATTTCTCAATAATTATAATTTTAAAGTGTATACATATTCATTAAATAATAGTAACTAATAAAAACAATACTATTAAAGATGATTTCTTTTCAAGTTATGATATTATTCAGTAATAACTTTTATGTTTAATTACTGATTTTCTCCATTATTTTGTTAGCAACTAGAAAGAATTTGTTCTTTCACTGTATTCTGATCTCGGATATTCTCATATATTGTTACTAATAAAGATATTACTGGTTGTCAGAAAATAAATATCTTAATTAAATAATTGTAACTAATAAAAACAATACTATGAAATATGATTAGTTTTTAATTTAATATTATACGCTTTTATGTTTAATCCATTATTTTGTAAATATATCTCGGGCATTCTCATATGTTATTACTAATAAATATATTACTGGTTGTCAGAAAATAAATATCTTTTTTAAATAGCTATTTTGAAGTATTCTCAAATGTCTGGCAATTTAATGCCTCTTAAGAATTTTTTATTTTGTGATACTGACGACGCCCGCATACCAGACAGTAATTAAATTTAATACTTTTTTAAGTGACTTGTCTCTTAATATTATAATGCTATCGATCGCATGTAAAAGACAGTTTATCGTTGGATCAAAGTCGGAAGATTAAATTGGCGTTTCCGAGTGCAATTGTTTCTCAGATCCTATAGGTGTGGGTAATTATAAGGAAGAAAGAGGATACAATACATACTTATTTCAATGAAATATTTATTGTAACCTTTTAAAAGACAAATTAATTATTACTAACGAACTATTAATATCATTTGTTTTGATATAAAATATTGATTGATTTGAGACAATCTGCTGCCATTCAAAGACGTTCAATGAAGATTAATACTTGCCAAAGTTACAATAAGAACAAGGAAAGCAAAAGAAACAAATTAAACGATACTAGTTGACCTCTCTGAGTTCAGATGTTTGTGTTATAATTTAGTCGCTTTGAATCCATTCTCGAAACAGATGGTCTGTGGACATAAGACTATTTATTAAAGATTTTTCAAGCGGCATTCACACGGTAACTAGCTGGTCGATCGTTCGATGCGTTGTAGCTCACGCTGCCAGGGCCGTAGCAAGACTTCTATTTAAAATGGGGCAGCGGTAAGTAAAGATAGGGCAGTAGCAGGGGCGGGCAGTCTGCCTCCCCGTTTTAGGTAGGGCTATGGTATTTTGTATTTTATTGCCCCATTATGTGCCCCCCCCCCCCCTAGCTCTCTCCCTTTACGCTTACCATTGATTCTTCAAAAGACTGTTTCGTGCGAAGGGGAAGGCAAAAAGTTACACGATTAGATCCTTGTTCAATCATTAAACGGGTAGTCGTTTTCGTCCTCTTCCATAATGGCCGTCAGGGAAACTTCCGGTATTGAATGTGGTGAATCACGGCGTCTGTATGAAGATGGAGCGGTGGCAGTGGAAGTTTGAGATTCGCACTTGACTTCTTCACCCAGACGTAGATTCATTCTATCTTGGTCTAAGCGCACAACTAGAGAGATGTCTTCAGCATAGCAATCCATACGAGCAACCGAGTCACTCAAGTGGTTCTGTAAAGTGCTAAATACAGAAATTATGTTATGTTATTACAAAGCGAACTGTATGCATACTTCACGCATTTGATAAGGCTGACCTCAAAACACAATGGTTTGATTGAGAAGAAAAAGGAACTGTTGTTACACTGCCTTGTTAACGGAGTATTTACGTATATTTCTTGAATAACATTAAAAAATTAAGAGATGGAACACGATGGGATTTGCAATTTTGTTTCTTTCAGTGTTAAGCAAAGAGTGGCGCTATCTCATGACAGACCCCGCATCTTAATAATTCAGATACCAAGCAGATTTTATGTAAAGCAGTTCATTTCATCGGTTTACTTGACAATCGAAATAGTTAAAACGTTGCACGTCCTTTTAACTCTAAATAATTATCTCATGTTATCTAACTATTTCCGCGCCATAGTAGGTAAACTGAAAGATTGTGTGGACGAGTGAGACCAATATCATTTAAGTAGCTTCCCAATGAGCATAGTTTCTCTAGACTTTCTGAAGTGCTATGAGGATAGCTAAACCAGTTACCCTATCGTATACCGTAGCCCGTGTACAGTTTGTCTATAAAGTCGTGACATTAAATGATGGCGCCACTAGTATGTATGTAGCAACCCTATACTTTCGGACCAAAATGATTTTGATACTAGCAGTTCATTCGAGTAAAATAGGTAATTAATAAGACACACTATACAGTCGTATTTTGCTTATAAAAAGTTTAGCCAAGCATATTTAACTGAATCAGAATAAAATTATTATAGATAAAATAGTACTTTATAGTGTAAAAGTGTGTAATGTTGGTGATTACCGCTGAGGTGCCATTGAGACCAGAGCCGTTAGGTAATCATCAATACACACAAGTATCATCATACGACGTTTTTTAACACACTTGTTAAGAAAATAATACTAAAAATCATTTTATAGTACACAAAAGTTTATTTAGAGAAACAATTTGTAAATGTGCAGTTAGTAAAATTAGTGATAGGTATCTTCACTAAAAGCATCTGGCCATGGTTCTTTATGTGACCATTTCTTTCTTTGGTCGGCTTTGCCTATTTTCCCCAGGAGTTTCAAACTTTCCATCATTCTTAAAACCTTCGTTGACTATCCGACTCTCTGATTTTCCTGAAAAAAAAAGTAAAAAAATATGTAACGGAATAGAAACGATAACTTATTGACATGAAGCAATTAATTCAAAATTGGTAGAAAACCTGACCGAGTTGAACCATAATAACGTATCAAAAGAAATGGTCGTACTACAATATTACCTATTTACATGTCAATCTAACCTAAAAATGTGCAATGTAAACAATGCCTTTTTTGGTCTCAAAATCGTAAATTGAGTAAATTTGTAACTTCAGGCACATTACAAACAAATAGTTACACGATTACATACCCGTCATAGATGCTGTTCGCCCATAAACATCATTCAAATCCCACAAAATTCGTCCAGCTTGGTAGTCTTCGAAACATCGCTGGAAAACTTTAAAAATCACTTCCCGCGTGCCACTCCGATTTACTTTACTCATTTTTATACCTTTCTGCGTAGTTTCGTCTTAATTTATTACAGTTTAATCCAAACAATATAAAATACAAAAGGAAAACTGTTCCACAACTGAAACTCGATGACAGCTGATGTACATAAGTTTGGTGTTGCCAGCAGTGTTTCCACTTTAAAGATTTCCTTTCCCCATGCCTCAATTCAGATTTCCCCTTCTTAGGACATTTTTCCCCTCAAAAATTATTCTGCTGTAGTTTTCAGATTTGGCACTAGTGTAGTAACTAAAAAAAAGGTCTTATACTATCTTATTCTATAACAGATAAATAAAATATATAAAATCTGCACGTGTTGCCACAGTTTCTTTTATACGGCAACACTCTAGTCCACGTTATAGTCCATAAAAAATTTGTTCCGTGCCGCATTATTTTAGGCTATGCTTTACCCATAATTTCCCGCAATTTCTTTTCATGTCTTTCCCCTTTTTCTTCCCCTCTGGACCCTAATTTCCCCTTAAAAGGGGAATTTCCCTTCATTGTGGAAACACTGGTTGCCAGACACATGAATAATGTAAGTTCCTCAAACATTCATGTCACGACTTTATAGACAAACTGTAGTTCCGGAAACCTTATACATATATCGACGGAAACAACACCACAAAAAGACGCTTACGAATCACCACATGATGTAAATCCGAGTCTAAGAACTCGCGGCGTGATTTTTTCCCGCGCCTGACGCGGTTGCGGGACCACAACTCGCGTAGAATGTGAAATTTAAGGTAAAATGCGAAAGCAAGACGCAATACCCGCAGACGCGGCGAGAAAACTCTCTCTCGTAAGTCGTGAGCTTTGAAATAAAACCGCTCTGCAGCCGCCGGCAGCGGGTGCGCGAAAAACCTCTACGTGAGTTCTTAGCCGTGATATTTTGTTACCTTATCCTATCAAGGTTACTCCTTAAGTGTTTCATAAAGTGTCTCAACCTCCCCAGTTCGTCCTTCAGTTTCCGGTCCACATCATCCTTGGTTAGTTCTCCCGGAGGTCTGAGCTTCCTGTCTGCAAGTCTCGCTGCGACGAGTCGCTCTTGTTCCATGGTTTCTACGAGGCTCTTCTCTGTCATGATTAGCTCTTCGTTTAAGGAGTTCATGTCTTTGATCGCCTATTGCAAATAAATAACAGTTCATTTAATAATACCCACATTTATGGGGCACAGATCTTCCATATAGATGGAATAACGAGCACGGGTTATGCCATGTCCACCATTCGGGCTCAGCGCGAATTGTCGAGTACTAACGATCGTACCAGCAGCCGGGCAGATCAAATTTTATCTTAAGTGCTTTTCGTAGCCTTAAAGTGTGAGATATTATAAATTTTTGAAAACGCGCTAATGCGCAAGTTGCTTTACTCCCACAATCGTAAACTGAACGACTAACCTGTTGTAGCATCAAGCACCAGACGTTTTTTTGTGTCTGATAAATGCATTACGCATCTTTCGCCAACCGGGGGAGCCAAACGAAGGTATCGTTTGTCTACCGGTTGGCCCCGGGTCTGTGGACTCCGCTCTACTCATTTCACCTAGCCCTGGGACTCGGTGAAATGTGCAGGGCCCTACCCAGTAACAACTAGACAATACTTCTGCATCAGTAACTCAGCAAGCATTTTGGGGACCCTCATCCCCACAATGCGCGCCGGGAGTGCAGGTGTAGTTGCTTCACCAGATTTCCAACTGGCCGTACACTTGAAAGGTGATTTTCCGGCGGACCCACCCCGGTGAAGCTGCCCCGGGATATTAAAGACATCTGCATCTAGAGAGCTCGAGCAATGCAAGCCTGCAATCAAGCACCAGCCTGCCTATTATCACGTAATAAAGGTACCTACCTTACCTAATCATGTTATTGTCACCTACTTTTTGATAACGCCATGTTATGCTTTGGTTGTCTAATTTATAATTCTATGTCTGGTTGCCAGCCAACTCTTACAATACTTTCTGATTCCTATCTGTTTATAGTTAGATGTGTGCGTCTTTGTTAACGCGTAATGAAATGGTCAATTCTACCTCTTCTCTTTGCCAGCATAGTTCTTCTAACTTTGAGGTGTTCGCATGGAGTCTTCTTCTGATTGCTGCGTCCACCTTAGATGCATGAGATTGAGCAGTAATCGATAGGTGAACCCTTGCACCTCTTACCTGAAACGTTGAACTAATAAGAGTGAAACTTGTTTCTGTTTTCGCGTATGGCCAATCTTTTCACGAGGATTGTTAAAATAAGCTCTCTGTTTGACAAATCACATGCTTTGGGATGAGTGGCAGTTGCACTCAAATGAGTGTTCATAATCAATATTATAAAGGACAAAGCGGGTTATAGGAGTTGAACTCTCTTCAGATTATCTGTGATTAAGGAGGGTTGGGACAGTTTACAAATATCAATCTACTGAAATCGGTAACAATGTGTGTGTGTACCTGCTGTCTCGTAACAACCGCATTGGTAAGGGCTTGGAGACCGAGTCTTTTAAGTGAGACACATCTGTTTTCCCACCGAGCGAGAGACGAGAATCTAAAACGCGACAGAATATTACTAATACACTACTAATGTACTAATAAATAAATATTTAAAGAAAATTTTACTAGAAAAAAATCCACGCGAGCCAGGCAGCAGACGGGACTCGAACTCGCACCCTTCGCTATCCGGACGAATGCACTGACTGCTAAAGCGGCCCTGATAGCCGTGTTGATTTTTCTCTAGCCTTTCTTAAGCTGCAAGGCAGGGCCATATCTTCGCATTGTAGGTAACCCACAACGTCAAATGAAACCCTCTACGGCTAAAAAAGCTAGTTTCGACACGGCCATCAGGGCCGCGGTAGCATAATGGGCAGTGCGTTCGCCCGGATAGCGCAGGGTGCGAGATCGAGTTCCATGTGCTGCCTGGTAAGCGCGGTTTTTTTCTAGTAAAATTTTCTTTAGGTTTAAACATTTAACTTAACTTCAATAGTTTAAACATCTAGTACAAGCTTAAAAAATAAAATATAAAAAATAAATATTTCCAACACTCACACCAATTAACCTAACCCCAAAGTAAGCACTGTAGGCTTGTGTTATGGGATACTAGGGTAGGATAGAATACATATACTGATACATATATTAGTATATTTATATAGGAATACATCCTAAACATCCATGACTGGAGTACAAAAGCTCGTATTCATGACACAAACGTCTGCCCCCACCGGGATTCGAACCCCTCGAGTTGGCGACACCTTGAAACCCGGCGTATAAACCACTCGGCCACGGAGGTCATCTCTAATAAGCAAGAGGTAGCGGAATATTTAATCGAATTACTCAATAGGCAATAAGTACCTATACTAGATACAAGATTGTAGCCAAAGATTGTTCTACAGCGTTCTTATCTTGTGCAGTGAGTTTGTTCTGGTTGAAAGAGTTCTAAAGGTACTATTCCGTGCATCGCGATCGATCGCGGTTGCGCGCGGCCTACGACTGTCGTGGGTCGCTCGCGACAATAGTCATAGTATGAAAATATATGGCACCGCTTCCGAGGCGCGCGACAGACGCGCTCGGCCGACGACTGTCGTGAGAAGCGCGCACGCGGCCGTGCGTGTCACGACATGCTCAGCGCTCAGTAACATCTTGGATTTCATGGCGCAAACATGTCTAGGAACGTAGGAGAAAACTTACGAAACTATTTTATCATCACAATACAAATGCTTTTGAATCAATATTTGGTAGTATCCTTCTACATTTCTGCTTTTAAAGATAGGGTCGATTGGTTCTCTTTTTTCTTAGTATAACAGCAGCAGCTCGTCATCCTCCTCCTCTTCTTCAAGAATGTTAATTAGCACTTGGACCATGATTTTGACTTGGGTAGACACATGTCTAGAGGGATCTGCCAAAGAACCAGTGTTGCCAACTCCTTGCATTGCCCAGTTGCTAGACATCTTACAAAATGTTGCTAGATTGTCAGTTTTTATTACCCCAAAAGGTTGCTAGAAGTAGCTAAATCTTCCAGTAGTAAAAAAGATACTATATTACAATAAGGGATATCAACACTGACCGTAGATGCATAAAAATGAGTTTGAGACCTTTATTGTAAAAAGAAAAAGTTATAAACTAAAATTATCATACTCATTTTTCACGTTGAAAAAGTCTACTTTCAACAAAATAAGTTTTAAATTCACGTACCCGTTTGGAACTCTACTTTCTGTCTATTTTTTTTGTCCTAGTATGTTTCTTTATGACAAATAGTTTTAGAAGAATTTCCGTAGAACAACTAGTACTAAACGCTTTGCTTGAGTCTCCACTTGCTGCTTTTAACCAACCTGTCTGTATTTCTGTACGTATGTTTTTTTCTCAAGGGTAAATCCATTTTCACATAAAATTAAAGCAGGGAGTATAAGTTTTATATGGATAAAACAAAAAAATGGGTAGAATACGAGTGGTGATGATGATGGTGTTCAAAAATGGCCACGTTCTATTACGAAAGTTACAAAATTAAATGAATCAATTCAATTCACCGTTTACGTTTCTTTTTGCCGTCTCCACTATTTCTTAAGACAGAGCTGAAGTCTACATTCGCACAAGAATTTTCTACTGTTATTGCCTCTTGTTTCTTTAATATGTCTTCCTGTATTCTTTTTTTAGTCCTTTCGAGACATTTCATCTGCTTATCGAGTTCAGCTATGATTTTTTCAAAATTCTTCTTCTCCTCTCGTAAGAAATTGTATTCCTAAAACAAGGTATTTCCAAACGAAAAGGATTTTAGGTCATTTTGCCGCCGGTCGCACGCAAGTAAACAAGATTACTTCAATCAAAATCATTATTTATTAAGATGGCTACCTATTTCCCCCCTCCACGGCTACGGCTCTACGAGGCTTGAACTAGCTCACGGTGGAAAAAGTATGGTCAATCCTTCAACCTTCATTTTTTTTGTTGTATTTTTCTTCTAAGTTTTTAATCACCATGTTTTCTTTTATGCTAAATCTAAGTATTAATCCGTAGTAATCCGTCAAAAACTTGGTTTGTAACTATCACTATTATGTACTTACTTATTTTTGTAAAACCTCTTAGACTATACCAATAACAAATTTGGAGTTGCAGAGGCATGACCTGCTCTGGGAATCGGATTTCTGGTGTTACATATCTACTAATCTGTTTATTAGCGTTGCACTATCTGTGATTCATAACCTATTCCTTACCTCAAGTATATTTTTTTCCACGGAGTCTTGCATCGGGCACAGGGCCCCTGGCTTGCTGGCATCTCTCGACCGGTCTTCTATCTCATTAGTTAATCTCTCCACGACCACCCTCAGAGCATTATGCTCATATTTGAGGGCTTCTATAGCTTCTTCAATACGTTTAGACAAATCTTCGAAAACCCACCTCCAGGATGATATGTCGGATATTCTGGTAATTTTATGTCAGTTTTGTTTATGTAAAAGTAATAAACTTACATACTACAGCACGTCTGGTCTTTCACTATCTTCACATCTTTCACTATAGCTTGTAGACTTTTGCTACTATACCCTTAGCACGAACCAATATCGAATTCGTAACGTATGCGAGTACGAAATGTCGCTGTGAAATGTGTACTGATTTTTAGTTCTCGTTACGTCCGTTATGGCGCTGCTGTTCAAGTTTCAATACAAAATTTGACAATGACATTTCGGACTTGCAAACGTTACGAATTTGAGATTGGTTCGTGCTAAGGGTACTGATAGACATTACCTTGCGCGCTGTCTGCCCTAACTCCATGCGCTACCCAGTAGAGCCTTAAAACCCCACCCAACCACCACCAACAACCACAGAAGTGTTTAACTGTAGTAGTCATACAACAATGCCATATGCTGGCGTGAGATGATCGAGCGTTGACTATGAAATGTAAAATTTGCACACTAAAATTGCATTCACATATCATAAATCCGCTGGTACGGCAAATGTTATTTCTATAGTAAAAATCACAAATACAGAAGGTGAAATTATAACCTTTCTTGTAAGCAATTTTTGAATTGGTACTCGTTTGTTTCCCTCGCGAAACTGTTTATCATCACCAACTCCTGACTTTCGTTCAGCTGATCTATCACTCTGGCGTTTAACCTGTCGTTGATGCTTCTTAAATCGTCAACGCCTCGTGGGCAACCGAGATATTCACCCTCGCAAAACATTAGGTGCTATTTCTACAAATTTAAATTAATGATTCTGACTGGGTCCAGTTCGAATGTTAAACCTGGATAAAAACATGATTTTGGCTTGAGTCATTCATAAGTCAGATGGACTTGTCAATCATTTTCCCTTAATCTTGGTATATTCTCTTTGATTAGAAACTACGAAACTACACACAACACCTAAATAATACTCTCTTCGATTTGAATGGACAAGAAATCTGCAAAATTTGGTCACTAGGGGCGCTGTAATCGCTTGACCCAAAACTTCTATCAAATACATACCTATTAGCTTATATTTATTGCAATTCTTGGTTGATGTGAGAAAACTGCATGCTTACCGACTAAAATATGGGTAAAACTGAGCTGCTGTTTACATCATGGTATGTATCTGGGGCAGATAATTGCATCTGGATGTCTTCAGTTTGATCAGAAAAAACTGCACCAAAATTAAAATTGCGGTCTTATGCCTCAAGATTGTAAAAAAACCCAATGTTATACATCCCATTTTAGCCCGAGGTAACCTTACACTATGAGATGTCTGACTGATGCAAGAATAAGATATATTTGACTAATGAGCCCGCTGGACTGGATGGCATCTTTCCGGGCCTACTGCAATGGTGCGAGGAATCGATACTCGAGCATCTACTGCGAATCTACACAGGATGTCTTGCCTATAGGTACATACCCACCAAGTGGAGAGAGGTTAAAGTTATATTCATACCCAAACCAGGCAAAAGTGACTACACGCAACCTAAAGCATTCAGACCGATAAGTCTCACATCATTCCCCCTAAAGGTGCTGGAGAGAATGTATGACAGGAACTTGAGAGATGATGCTCTAAAGCGTGTACCACTTCATGCAAATCAACACGCCTACAGCATGGGCAAGTCCACCGAATCCGCATTACACAACGTAGTCAGACAAATAGAACGTGGATGATCACCAAAACAATCGACGCTCGGGGTCTTCATTGACATTGAAGGCGCCTTTGATAAAACAAACTTTACCAGCATCAACCAAGCACTTGTCAGACATGGAGTTGACCCCACGACTGCGGGGTGGATCAACAACATGCTAAAATACAGAGCAATACAAGTGACTGTGAACACTACGAAGAGAGCCGTAGTGGCACGGGGTTGCCCACAGGGAGGCGTTTTATCCCCTCTCCTGTGGAACATTGTGGTTGACGAATTAATTTGCCAACTCAATCAACGCAACTACTACACAGTTGGCTATGCGGACGACCTAGTTATCCTCATAAGAGGGCCATTCCAGAATGTGCTGTGTAACTTAATGAGTAACGCTCTCAGGATAGTTGAAACCTGGTGTACTAAACACCAACTATCGGTGAATCCGACCAAAACAGAGATGGTCATGTTCACGAAAAAACGTAACTTGGATACCGGTAATTTGCCCAAGTTATTTAATACCGAACTGTCTATGTCAAGCGAGGTCAAATATCTAGGCATAGTTCTTGATCATAAGCTAACATGGAACAACCACTTAGACCAAAAGATAAACAAAGCCTGTATCACGTTTTGGCAATGCAAAAGATTACTTGGTAAAACCTGGGGTCTTGCACCAAAAATCACAAAATGGCTTTACACAACCATAATCAGACCACTCATCACCTACGGTGCAATAGTTTGGTGGCCTAGAACCAAACTTAACACCGCAATTAATAAACTGCAGCGTTTTCAAAGACTAGCATGCTCTGCTATAACAGGCTGCATGAAATCCACACCCACAAATGCCCTAGAAATAGCGCTTGACCTCCCGCCACTCGACCTGTTTATACAACAGGAAGCAACTATGGCAGCGCTAAGAATGTATCATCTGGGCTTGTGGACGGAAAACCAGGGATCTCACTCCAAAATTCTGGAAAGGGCTATACGATACCAATCTATGGTAACAGCCCGCTGTGATAAAATCCGACTACTCATACATTTGATAGAAGATATCAAATAGAACTACTAGAAACCAACAAGGATATATTTAATAATAAAAAAAACACGTTCAAAATTTGACAGCTGCAATATTTGTATGTGGTTTGGGTCAAGCGTTTGCAGCGCCATCTATGTCGAGCTTTGCCTATACTTCTCCATTGTTTTAATATGCCTTTTTTGGCGACCACTGTGGTGAAGTATACGACCAATAGATGGCGGTGTAAAAACCCTTTGATCGCAGTATGGGTTTATTACACCAGAATGTAGATTTTACGACGAATTTACAATTTAAGCCTGCATCGTCCCCTTCTCAGGGGACGATCGCATCCGATGAAGCCTTAAAGGCCTTCCCGGCCAGAGGCAGTCCCAACGGCTGTTATTTAGTCAGTAAGAGTCTGACAAAACCCTGCAGCCGGCTGTAGGGTATCCATGAGGATTTCTCACCCGCTCCCCCGCCTGGGAGGAAACAAAACAATTTAAGTATAACGTACTTCCACTTACAAGTAATTTTTGTACTCCCTTGTACTTTGAATAAGTCGTAGTGGAGTCAACGAAGAAGGAAAATAGTGGATGTGTTTATTATGTTTCTGCATTTATACAAAATCTGTTGCCAACCGTAGAATTTTTTCCTCGTACTTATGCTAAAAATCTCTTTCGATCCTCGTACACGATTTGCACACCCTTTGTGGAGAAATAATAATTAACAGAAACTCACGAACATATTTTACACTGAGATATTATTTTTATTAATTGAAAATAGAGAAAAAAACAGTTTTTTTTAAAAATTAAAAAAAAATTGACAACTTTTTCAACACCCTCCCCCCTACAACATTTTGCCTACAATGAAAAATCATGTTATAAAATATACTGACAAAATCTCGTACAATTATGTACGAGATTTCTCGTACCTCGTACGGAAGACCAGAAATCTCGTACGGTTGGCAACCCTGCTAGAGTGTTACTGCTGCTGACTCCATATGCCATCACTCCCCTTACCCCGTGAAGCCCTGAAAAATCTTACTCAACAGAAATAAATTAGCGTAGCAGTTAGCACCTGTGGTTGGCACTCCAACTTCCACCTACAAAATACATACCACGTTTTCTGTAAGTGGAGGTTACTTCCCCAGACGGGCGCTTAAATTTGAGCGGGATATCCGCTTTGCCCTTAAAACCTCTCATAAATCATGTGAGATAAATAAAACATTCTTGCTAAAGATAAAAATTGCTATAATTGATTAAATAAGTCCCATTACGTTAAAATATACGTAGTAAAATCGAGTAAGATTCAGCTAACTAACTGTTAGCTAGAAGATGGATAGATACTTTGACACAAAGAGCAACACGGGAGAAGTCATAGCGACGCAACAGTATTCAAATTCTGGCTTTTTATGCGGAGGGAATATGCACGTCACTGACACAAACAATGACACAACACACCACCATAATTATGCTGCACACATATATCGTGAGTGAGAGTGAGAGCTCAATTTGTATGCCCAACTCGACAGAGGGGAGGGAAACTGTGCCTTTTTTTACGCAGGCAAAACCTGTATTTAGAGACGTAGGCGCCCTTAAGAGGCACAACAACAAACGGACCTCACACCTAGTCTCTCACAAGTCTCACGAGTGCGAAACGGAGAAGCCGTTAAGCAGTCCGCGCGGCTTACAAGCGTTTACGTCATACTATCCGCTAAAAAACCCTGCGAATACCCTCTACGCTGCTGGTGCGGAACCGCTAAATCCCCGTTGAGGGACTTCATCGCGTAGCTCTGCGTGGATTATTGCTCGCACCTTTAGGATGTCCCCACCAAGTATTTACTCGATTCTTTGGATAGGTTACAGCGACCAAATTTGTATGCCCAACTCGACAGAGGGGAGGGGAGCCGTGCCTACTCCCTTCGTTGCCGCATCGGCCGTGTTGCTCTATGCGTTGACTGAATGCTGTTTGTATTGTTGTTCATCATGAATGTAGGCAGGCGGATACATAGATGAACTACTCATTTATATGAATCTACAGTAAGCTTCTTTAGCAACCCTGTGTAAAGGTCGCAGTAGGATGAAGTACACCAGTTCGGCGACGCTGATGATGCTGAAGCCCAGGAACAGGCTCAGAAGACCACCGATGGCACCTGATAAACATTATCTAATTTAATTATTAAGTATATACTGTTTTAAACTTTCATATAATAATATACTGTTTTACTAACATTACAGCTATTAACGGGATTGTTACCATGTACCTTGTTTTTTATGAGTCTCCGATATTTCGGCACTGTTGCAAGCGCCATGATCACGGAGTAACTGAATAAAACCGAGCACAATAAAAAACGATGTCAGAGAGTAGACCGATATGTCTGCCAATAATATCTACCCGCAATTACTTCAGTTCTCTCTGCAGCCATCCACCAATCAGCACTGGGCCCGCGTAGTGGGTCATGGCCCAAACTCCCTATTCCATCCATAGGGAAGGCCTGTGCCCCAGCAGTTTGTATGCCCAATATATAGTTTGTATGTAATATATAAATAAGTGTGAACTAAAAAAATAAGACATTGTATATTTTATTAAATACATGTAATATACCTTGGTGTAAACGAGGGGTTATAATCACAAGCGATACTTAATTAACTTACCAGCAAAGTAATAGTCGTCATACTGGGCGTGTCGGTGTTGTCCCAGAAACAGGTCCTCGTAAAAATGCACGTTGATTTGCGTCAGCTCGCCTCTGCAGAGAGATAAGCAAACAGTTAAAGTAAAATTAACCCCGAACGAATCAACTCCTGCGAATTCATGTATATATAGATTTAATTTAATAATTTGAGAGTGTGAAAGAATCGGGGGAATGAAAATTCCAGTATGAATTGCATGATAATGATGACTCTACGATGCAGCCGGCTTCGGCAGCTTGACCTGTAATTAATAATTTGTCAACATTCATAACATCAGTTTTAATTGATGTCATGAATTTTGTTATGCCCGAATTAGGGGAAACACCCATAAGTCGATCTAAAGTAAAGGTAATAATTGTTCAGTGTTTCATTTATCATACAAATATTAGCAGAATCAGCAACCGAAAGGGTTGACCAGCTCAGCTTGTGTTGCAGCATAAGCCACAACATCGATTTTCAGCTGGACCTGCATAATCATCATCATCATAATCATCAGCCTATTAATGTTCCTACTGCTGGGGCACAGGCCTTCCCTATGGATGGAATAGGGAGATTGGGCCATGACCCGCCCAGTGCGGATTGGCTGGTGCTAACGACTGCAGGTGCAGCCGGGACCAACGGCTTAACGTGCCTTCCGAAGCCCGGAGGCTCTCGAGACAGAAGTTTCTGATCACCCATCCAATGACCGACCACTGTGAAAGTTGCTTAACCATCAACTTCAACCATCGCAGCCGAACGCGCTAACCACCTGCGTCATCGAGCTCCTCCTGTATAATAATTAAACTAAATACTGTGGGTTTTGATGTTAGTGAAAATAATTAATTATCTGACAATTACATTATTGCTAATAAAGACTTAGACTTTCCTTTCTCTTTCCTCTTCTCCAATTTAATTAAAAGTAATATACGTCTTTAATAAATAGTAACGAAACTTAAGAAAATTTACTAGAAAAAAGAAAACTTTGTCCCGCCATCAGATAAGTGTGAACTTTTATAAATCTAAGAGTAACAGAACTTCACATAAGAATATAATGAACAGAAATAAAACTTACTTCCTAGGATATCCCCACACCGGTGAAGGGTCCCCCGGTTCCTTGATCAGGTCGGAGTAGAATACTTGGCTGTCATAGATGACGTCATTGCATGATGGATGGCATGACATGGGCTCCTCGGAGCTCTTGCCTTCCTCGCTCTCCGCGTAATAAGCGTATATTTGCTGTTCTTCTACTTTGCCTGCAATATATTTTGTTTGAAAATACTCGTCACGCACACTACACCAAACACACGTACACACTCATTCTCACAAATTTAGTTATTCTCCATTTATAATTTTGATTATTATAGGTATTTAAATTTATCGCAAAATGAATTTGAATCTTTGTTGGTATTTCTTTTAGATTATTGTTAATTATAATTTCTACTGTACGTAATCGTTTTAATTTTTGAATTGAATACAAACTGAGTTTGTGTAATTGGCTAAAGTACCATTTAAAAAATATATTAGATTATATTGTGTCAAACGCTGTTGAAACTTGTTGATGATGAATAAATGATTAAAATATAATGTTTTTATTTACCGACAATTTTTGTGGCTATAATTTTTGTAAAATACAACTCGGTATCAAAATCTGTGAATGAACAATCAATCATCCCCTTAGGGTTGGACTTTTTTTTCCAAATTGATATGGGATCAACTTCGGATACACCCTTTCCAATAAATAAAGAATTATCAAAATAGGACTACTCCGTAAAAAGTTTTGCGTGGTTATTACATCTAATCTTTATATATATAATTCTTCTGTGAGTGTGTATGTCACTGAACTTCTCTTAAACGACTGGACCGATTTTGATGAAATTTTTTGTGTGTGTTCAAGGGGATCTGAGAATGGTTTAGATTCACAATTTTGTCCGCTGGACAACCCCTATTTTTTTAGGGCGGTACGAAGTTCGCTGGGTCAGCTAGTACCTATATAAAATTCTCGTGTCGCGGTGTTTGTGGTTAAACTCCTCCGAAACGGCTTTCCCGATTCTCATGAAATTTTGTGTGCTTATTGGGTAGGTCTGAGAAACGGACAACATCTATTTTTCATCCCTCTAAATGTTAAGGGTAATCCACACCTAAATTATTTTTTTGCAATTTTAGTTTTTTTTTTATGATACATCATACAAAAATACATACAACCCTAAATTTTCACTCTTCTCCCACTAACCCCTATTTATTTATGGCGGTACGAAGTTCGCTGGGTCAGCTAGTAATATATATATATATTTAAATACACACATCGACTAGAGAACCTCCTACGTTTTTTACCTCCTTTACCTCCTCCTACGCCGCGTTCGGAACCTGCGCTCCGGGTGCAACCAATTTTGATATGGCGATAGTGGCGCCCCCCTGAACTCACATTGTTGTTGCTTTGTTGTTGTTTTTGTTTTTATTTTGTTATGTTTATTTTATTACTTGTTACTGTTATTGTTTCGTGTCGTCACTAAACCGGTTCCAACGGAAGACCAGCGCTGATGGCAACATCAGCACATGCTGAGTTGGGACCGATTTGAGACAAAAAATTATGTGTTTTGTTTATATATGTATTTTTTTACTGTTGGTTTTGTCTCTAATAAATTTATTTTTCTTTCTTCTTTCTTTCGTCGGTTAAAAAGAAATATAGCATAGTTTCATCTATAAAATGCTTACTGGCGATGTCAATATATGTAATTTACAACAAACCTTTAACATAATCGATACACTTAAAGTCCATATCGGTTGAACAAATAGGACCCGAAGCGCTTTTCCCTAAAAGCAAAAAAAATACCATTACACCTCATTACACTTATCAAAATTAACCGACTTTCAAAATAAATATTAATTTTATTAGTAAAAAAACTTATAATATAATAAACAAAAACTATTATTTTATTTCCTAATAGTATCTGTACATCAATCATAAATGACTTCAATGAAATCTTGTTTTAAACTTTCATGGTCACTAACATTATAGCTATTACGGGATTGTTACCATGTACCTTGTTTTTTATGAGTCTCCGATATTTCGGCACTGTTGCAAGCGCCATGACCACGGAGTAACTGTATGAAACTTGTAATTTGCAATCATCTTAAAGGACGCCGTAAACTTCTTGAGCAAAACCACAGACAGATAAGTTTGCACGTAGACGTTTTTGTAAGTAAAATTGCTAGTGATCATGCTACCTTGTCTATAATAGTTGCTCAAGAAGTTTGCCGGGATGTATATATACATTGTTCTTTTATGGTATATACATATATATATCTACATATATAAGGTGAAATAGGCAAAAATCTTTACATTAGAGCACTCCTTTAACGCCAGGTTTCATGGAGTTAAACATAAAAATACTTACGTGGCCAATTGAAAAGCGTGCAATTGCAAATCCTCTTCGATTCCGTCACGAAGAGGTCGTGTTTGCAATTGCTGCCCGTGTAGAACTGATAGTACTCCAGCTGCCTCTCGTTTTGAAAGAAGCACTGCCTCTGCTCCGGATTTAAAGTCCTCAGAGCTGCGTCTGTCTTGTATGTGACGGGTGACACTTCTATAGTGGTCATTCTGTCCATTGGCAACCGGAGGACTGTAGAAGTGTACACGTGGTTCGTAGGTGATTTGATCAGTACCTGTGAGAAAAAACTTAGTTTTCTTAATGTAACAAGAATAGCATACAAGCATTCACCCGTCTGATCGTAAGGGTAGGGCATAGTGGATTTCCGCTCGAATTAGTGCCCGTCTGAGAAAGTAACCTCCATCTTACAGAAGACTACAGTCAGTGCCGTCTTTGACCTATTGGAGGCCCTTTTTTTTATAACGCATGTTAAAAATCTTTTTACAGACGACGGCGCTTTTAAGAGGCACATCGCCGAACGGACCTCACACCTGGTGGCTGACCACCGAGGACCCCGCAACTCTTACGGGCGCTTTACAGCATCCGCTAAAAAGTCCTGCGAATACCTTCTACACTGCTTAATGCGAAGCCGCGGGGTCCCCATTAGGGATTCTACCACGCCTCCGCACTCAGCAGCTTCCCGGCCTCGCCGGGGCTCCACGGCAGAGGTCTGCCGAGGTATTACGGGGACCCCGCAGACGTGCGCAGGTAGGCCCGCGCGTACCTTCGGTTTGGTGATTTAACAGAAACTAGGGACTTTGTATTTGATCTGAGGGGGCCCCGTATCGATCGCGGGGCCCTGGGCACTTGCCCAAAGTGCCCAATGGGAAAGACGGGTCTGACTACAATGAAATGACACAACTTTTTGGTGGGGTTGGTTTCAGTCGGTGAGTAAGTAAGGTTTTAGGGTTTTACTGGGTATCGCAATGTGTCTAAAGGCTATGGCGGCCGCTTTACATCAGGTGGACCAGACGCTTCTTTGCCACCCTTTTAACATAAAATGCCGTCGCCATAGCATATAGAAGCTTACGACATAATAGTATCACGTGCGCAGATACCTATCTAGACTTATCCTCTACGTAACCTGAAGCTTACTTCCCCAGAGAGAGCTGTTAATCTTAGTAATCTATTAACTATGTAAAAATCTCGTGTCACAACGTTTATAGTGAACTCCTGCCAAACGACTTGACAGAATTTTATAAAATAGTCTGTGTGTATCACACTAATATTATGAAGGTGAAGGTTTGTGAGTGTGTATGTTTGTTACTTCTTTAACTCTAAACGACTGGAGCGATTTTAATAAAATTTGGTATGGAGTTAGCTGACACCCTGGATTAACACATAGGCTACGTTTTACTGCAGAAAAATATCCCTTATAAACCGCGAGTAACACCGCGGGGCACAGCTAGTATTCAATAGGTCTGAGAATAGGACGTCAACTATTTTTCATACCCACCCCATATTCTTTAGTGGGCATTTTTTTCATTTATTTTATTTCTGATTCGGCATTAAAATACATAAGGCCTCCCGGGGCTATATATAGTAGCTATGACGCGAATGTAGCTGTTTCAAATAACTCTTTATAGTTAAATTGGAAGATGGTTCAACTGTTCCACCTGGTCAAGTTTCTCAGTTTTCCCTCAAGTAATTTTTCACAAAGATACTTACAGTAAACCCGAGGCTGTTGCCATCACAAGCGTGTTGATGTTCACTGATATTCAAATACAGCTCTACGCTGAGACCGTAGTTCTCCCCGGAGACCATGACTCTATAGGGCTTGATGGAGGGGTCTGGAGGGAACACCTTGGGGTACCCCTCGTCTAGACCCCACTCCAGAGCGGCAGGAGTAGCCTGTCTGTTGAAACTCCTCTGCCAAGATAGTGTGTCGTTCTTCCTAAAAATATAGCACAATCATAACACTGTGTAGTCATACATCTACACTCGTTTTCGGCTGCGATTTCGTTAGTTGGTTTGGTTTATTGAGTGTCCCACAGGAACCTAATTTTTTTCCGGGATAAAAGGTATCCTACATCTGAAACTAAATAATAAACTGTGCGTGTGCTATCCAAATTTATTTTGAGTTAGTGCGGATAGCACCTTTTGAGTTAAAAAAATACTAATCACACTCACATTCCATTCATCGGGAGGCTATTGAATGCATAGCACAATCCGTAATCCGTGAATATAGGCCGGAAATATTTTTGGCAGCATTCAGTGGTTACCCATCTGGTTTCGTGGGCTGCCGGCCAGTTGCAGCTCTTGACGATATCGGAGCAGGACAGGGCACCCTGTTAACGAAATCATGGTTGAATATTCAAATTAATCACCATTATATCAGGAAGCTGTAAAGCTTGATAGTAAGGCATATAGTTTCCAATATCCGGAATTTATAATATTAATATGGGTATTACGTGAAAGGGAATTTCAAATAAATCTCCATTAACTTAGAGGACATGGATTGTTTTTAATATTTTCAATAGAAAGAAAATACATTGAAAAAGTCAACAAAGTGAAAACTAAATAGGATCCTTCGTTCCGCTCTGTATAAATTTAATAAACGAAATGAAAACTTGAAAATTCTTATTAGAAAAAACTACAATTATTTTGATGTGTTTCACTCTAAGTGCTATTGTTAACTGTACCCCTAGCACGAACCAATATCGAATTAGTATAGTTTGCGAGGCCGAAATGTCATTGTCAAATGTGTACTGATTTTTAGTTCTCGTTACGTACTTTGTGCTGCTGCTGTTCAAGTTTCCATACAAATTCTGACATTGACATTTCGGTTTGCAAACTATTCGAATTTGATAATGGTGCGTGCTAGGGGTACTGATAAAGTTGTAAATCGTAATATCATATATTTATGAAAAGGGACATATTTGATAAGGAATAATATTATGTACATCGTACTGTGGTACCTTAAAAAAAACTAATCAAATTTATAAAAAAAATCTTACATTCAAAATAAACATTTGTAATTGGTCGGTTTCCTTAGCACTCAGCCGTTGCGTCAATGTCTTGTTCATAAACAACATACGCGGGCAAACTAACGACGCGAAGAACTCCTCCAAACTGAAATGGGAAAAGTGTGTCACATCACAACAATAGTATATTGTTCACCGAAGGGGGGAAAGTAACCGATTATAGTACTTTCTTTCGAGGGATACATAGTGCTTTATACCTGCGAGGAAATAAAAGACAAATTCGTAGTAAAGTTATTACAGTTACTAAAGTTTTGCCTGGGGCTTTATATTGGTTCCTTGATTTGTCGTGTAAAGGTTCTCAATGACTGCTTAGGTTATAGAGCAACGCGCAGGAGGGGAGTAGCCATAGTGACAAAATATTACTGAAATAATTCTGCCACTTTTTGCCGGGGGGGGGGGGGGGGGGGGATATGCATACAAATGCAGTCTAACATACTTTCGAAAAAAAATTGTAAGTACGTCACCAACCACGGATCTGAAAAAAAGACGGACGGTATCTGGTGTGTATATAATAATCAAAGGTTATTAATATTATTAGTATAAACGCACCGGCCCAGTTTCGAGACATTAGCGTACGACTGCTTCACGTGCAGATGTGGGCACAGCACCACTGTTGGGAAGGGCACGGCCCATATGGGCGTGGGCAACGAGTCGATGACGTTGACGAAGGGCGTGGAGGTCCACTTGCAGAACAGCTTGATGATGTTGATGGCGCAGAAGGCGACGCTTATCACCACGATGAGGATCCAGGTGGCACGCTCCTTACTGCTGAATGTGGGCTCGAAGATGTACCTATGGGTAAGGACTTGATAAAAACAAAACCACTAAAAAGTAGGAAAGACTACAATTCTTTACTTTTATATCTAAACTACATTAATAAATAATAAATAAATAAATATTTCCAACACTCACACCAATTAGCCTAGCCTCAAAGTAAGCACTGTAAGGTTTGTGTTATGGGATGCTAGGGATAGAATACATATACTGTACATATATAAGTATATTTATATAGAAATACATATTAAACATCCATGACTGGAGTACAAATGCTCGTATTCATCACACAAATATCTGCCCCGACCGGGATTCGAACCCGGGACCTCTCGAGTCGGCGTCACCATGCATACAAACCACTCGGCCAGGGAGGTCGTCAAACCTCTTCTTTTTGAAAGTCGGTTATTTTTTTTATTAGAGTTCCGAACAAATGTATAAATATATCCACCCCGTTCTTGTGAATAGCAGTAGCGTTTAATCGCAGCAGTTTATATCAACGTATATAACCAATAAAATCATGTCGTGTGTGAAACTTTTGTTTCATTTTGAAAGCAAACAACACATTCTTGGCAACCTTGGAGTTTGTAAACTTCATTTTTTATTTTGTCAATCAACTAAAAAATATAAAGATAAAGCGTATCAAACTTAGAGAGTGGGGGCTCATGAGGTCCCTCCTATGTAGAAATTGTACCAAGGCGTGACGACATGCGACATTTCAAATCAATATATCTCTGGAAAGTTTTGATTAGGCATGTGAAAGGAAAAAATACGTACATATTTAATACTTTTTCATAATCTACTCGTACCTGATAGATGAAGAAAAAAGGTATGCCATCATCCCTTTTGGTTAAATCTAAAGAAAATTTTACTACAAAAGAATTCACACGGACTAGGCATCAGACGGGACTCGAACACAACACCCTTTGCTATCCGGATGAATGCAGTGACCATTATTCATTTGACATTGTGGGTTACCTACAATGCAAAGAGATGACGCTGTCTTGCAGCCTAAGAAAATTTGACATGGCCATTAGGGCTGCGGTAGCGTAATGGTTAGTGCATTCGCTCGGATATCGAAGGATGCGGGTTCGAGTCCCGTCTGCTGCCTAGTCCGCTTGGAATTTTTTCTAGTAAAATCTTTTTAAGGAAGTTTCAATCTTTACTTACTTCACTCCATGTAAGGTGCCACCGTAGAAGAATTGCTTGAGTCCCGCCATGACTTCAATCAGCCACAAGTTCATCATGGATAATTTTCCTTGTCTCTTACACTTATAATAATTACTGTTCACTTTTAAGGCTTCATGACTTATGTAATTAAAATCTTTTACGTAATAGTTTCCGTAATAATCCATAATTATGTGGACAATAGTATGTTTAAGTATTCTCTGAAACATACGGTTATCTTATCACGAATCAATATTTAATTCCAATATTAAATGTCAAAAGTTTTGTATGGAAGATTTTTAATTCTCGTTACTTCCCTTGTGGCGCTGTTCAAATTTCCATTCAAAACTTTTTGACATTAGACGCATATCGAGATCGAATTCAACTATTCGAATTCGATATTGGTTCGTGCTGAGGGTACGGTTACAGAACACAAGAAGAGGTTAGAAGGGTTATCGTGGAACATTTTTACGGGAGTCGATGTCGCCGGCTCGTCCCAACTACACTTCCAACTTTGTTTTCTTTTATGCAAAGGCATGATGAAGCCTAGGATGATACACGCCTGCCTAGAAGTTGCCTGTTCACTCAGGCCTTGAAGATGTCCAGATTATATTGGTCCGGGAAAACAGACCTCGGCAAGGAGTTCCACTCCCTAGCCGTTCGCATAATGAAGACCGAAGCAAATCGCTTCGTGCGAATTTAATATATAATTATATAGGTATAGATAGAACTTATTACCTAATAGGATAGTTTTTCTGAATTTTCCACTGTTCTTCCATTTTTCTACATGATTATACCGTTTTTCTTAGAAAACGATTTTCTTTTTTAAATTGCATGTGTAGGTGCGTTTTCCGCCGATAATAATCAATAAGTACTTCCCGTGAACTTAGAATCTTGAAAGGAGATTGCTCAGCTTCCATACATGTTTGGCCTAAAGACCAATGATCATGAAAAATTGTTTCCTAGATTCGAAATTATATATAAATTACTGTAGAAACGTATATTATTGACGGACACCCCTGAGAACTTCTATAAACCATACACACTGAATGATTTTGAGGTTATGTTTGCAAATAGGTACATAGGTATTAAAATAATAAAAAACAAATAAGCTATATAGCAAACTAGGGAAATCAAACCAAGTACCGAAATTATGTATTAGATTCAGGTATATAAAGCATGTAGATAATTAGATTGCCTGTTTTTAAAGTTAATGCATAAGAGTAACTTTTAAAATCAGCTATCATCTATGCATTCCGGTTATATTAAGGTACTCTGTGACAGAATCTGTGTGTTATTTGTGAATGAGCCACAGATTAGAGAGAATTTTTAAACTCTGGTTAACTAAAGAAAGCTTATTATTTTTGTTATGTTATTATTATAACCATATTTTAGATTTTTAGTGTATCACACCTTATAATGTGTTTATGGAGGTGTTTGGTGAAAAATGTTGGGCAATAGACTTTATGATGTCGCCTACCATCTATAATATTTGTCTTTGTACATTTGCATGTAGTAAAAATGATAATATACTTGTGGATATTAATACCACAGTGTAACAAAAAAATGTTTTAATTTATCGATCTTTATAAAATAGATTTGTTTTTGATAAACAACTTCGATCAGTCTTTGGCTAAATGTTACTACAACCATAGCCATTAAACCGTTATTTAGTTATTAACCATAACGTTATTAACCATAGCCATTTAACCATTAGTTTTCAAACCGGTAAAATTAAGTCCTTTTTAAAAAGTAAATATATTATACAAAGGTGTCCGTTAAAATTTAATGACTGTAAAATAAATTATAAATTACGCCATGAATTACGGTATATGTCAATATTTTTTGTACATTTGGGCCAATTTGAGCAATCTCCTTTGGTACGAAGTAACGTCTTATAGTACAGTTAACGGAAAAACTGCGAAAACTGTAAATATTTAGTTACATCATATATTAAAAAATATGTTTGAAAATGTTAAAGTTACATTTTTTTCTCACGAACGCGTAGAGGTATTAAATTGAGTTTGTACGGAACCCTCGGTGCGCGAGTCCAACTCGCACTTGGCCGGTTCTTTATCTATAATGCCTCTCGATTTTTAAAAATCGGACCTGGCAACACTGTTATAACCTCTTTCTGTGTTTTGTGGGTACGTTACACTATTCAATACTTCACTGAAGGGATGAACTAACCAGCAGGTAATGTTAAAATGCAATTAGTACTTACCCAGCTGAAAGTAATTGTGTTGTTAGTAACACTTTCACTCTTATCTGTAATGTTATCTACATACACGATAAATAGATATGTTTGTTTGTTCAGTTATATATTTTTACATGAAACTTAATTCGGACGACGAGCTTATTTTCTAAAAACATTATTAATACTGATACTATTTAATTAATGTTATTGAACTGATAATTAAAATTAGAAGAAAACTTTAACTACTAAATCATTGTCATGACTATTTATCATAAATATTAGGAGCAATTACACTATTTAGACGAAAAAGTTGATAACATTACTACAAACTATGAGATAGAAAAGTAATTTGTGATCTATTGTCACGTGACCGAAAACGTCTAGCATTGGTGGCGCCGAAAATGACGTCACTTGCTTGTAAACATGCTCAAGAAGTGACATTACTTTGTTTAACGTATCAACGAAAGCCGTGTGACGTCACCTGCCTGTAATTCGCCATATTTGCTAGAGAAACGTTTCCGCGGCATATTTGAAAACAGAATTTTTATTTTCGTTATTTTACTGATATACGCAACAGAGTTATAGAGATATTGAGTTTTATACACAAATAAATTACTTATGAACGTTTTCAAAAGCCTGACAATTAGCCTATTATATTTTAACAAGGAGTTAGAAACCAGACGAACCCATGTGATATTACCTGTTGCCCTAATGGTAGCGAATTATTGCAATTGCCCTGCACTCAACTGTATTAGCATATATATTTTTCAGACCGAGCATTTATTTGTGTCTATGGCCAGCTTTTCAATTGCTTTTGATTACAATTAGAAAAAGAAAACTCGGACAAGTGCGAGTTGTACGCCCACCGTGGGTTCCGTACTTTGTTACGTTTGTCGTTACAAGTTTTTGTTACGATAGCGCCATCTAGTCACTCTAGATGAATCTAGGTGGCATGCAAACTTCGCATAATGTGTTTAGGTTTCGACACTTAGAAACTAGATGGTGTTGCCGACACTATATATATATATATATATTTTAATTCATTTATTAATTTACAGTCAGGCAACGTAGGCCCATAGATACATACCTAAAAGTCTAACATATATACAGATATAAAACATAGTTAAAAACTTATTGAACACGTATTGACGGCGATGTTTGACGCAGAATGGTGTCCGGTATCCGGCCTCGGAAACGCCGGAACACAACACCTTTCGGCCAAAGCTCTTCTTTCATAAAGTTCGCTAGGTGTTCGGTTGGTACTCTCACCATGAATGAATTAAAATTAATATTATGGCGAGATTCCAACCGTGCGACTCTCAGGGAGAACTTCGTTTTGATCCGCAGATACTCTACGATCTCCTCTTCCTTCGTAGAGTAATGCAGCCGGGACACGCACAGTGGCGTCGTTGGTATGGCGGGACGCAAAAGATGGTCCGGGCCGGTCGGGGCAGCACCACACAGGTTGCGGCGAGCGGGCTTCCTCTTATTCCTTTCCGCCTTGATGAAGCCTTCTTCGTCACAATTTAGATTTTGTGACGCCGCCGGAGTAGCACGTTTGTGTTTGCTACTCTTCTCTGTTTGTTGTAATATTCACTCTGGTTTCGGAGCGGCATCGGCAGGCCGAATTGCGGCTGCAGCTGCGTAGGCACGTTGCGGTGTCGAAGTGCAAGCGCGTGACTTCTCGACTTGATATGGCGGAGGGGCGGGCGGCGGCGACGGGGCGCGGGGCATTGCGCGCGGTCACGGCGGCTGGTGACGCACTCGCAGGCGACGACTCAATACTGCTGACAGATGCATTTTGCGCCCCGCGATGTGTATTTACATTGGAAAACTCGGGTGACCTACTTACACAAGCAGTGTTGCTTAAAAACTCTACTTGGGCTCGCAACTCACCGATGGTGTTATTCGAGTCCTCCAATTTGCTCACAACCTCGGCCAGGCTTGCTTTCAGGTAGTTGATATCCTTCAGCAGCCTGGTGTCGTCAACGTGGTCAAACGTGACAGGGGGCAGCTTGTGCAGCTCCTTCGCCACGAACGACGGAACGTCATCAGGGTCGGTCTCCTTCAGCAGGGTGATGATATCCTGGATACTCTTTTCTGTTCCGGCTGATGGCATCTGGTCAGCCTTGCCAACGGACCGGAAGAGCAGCGCCTTACCACTGCATACCTCATCTTCCTTAAAGCTTGATTTACAAATCTGCAAGAGACTGACCTCGTCCATTCTATCTATTACATTTTGTATAAATGCTAACAGTTCGTTAGCTATGAGTTGTTGGGAGCTCATAGCCGTACACTCGCACAACGGCTGTTGCCGTGTGAGACGCGAATTAATAAATTCTCACGGCACAGTGGCGCACGTCCGTTTCATCATTAATTAATTAATTATAGATAATTATCATTGTATCTATATATGTAGAGAAAAAAATGGGTTTGTTTTGAAGACACTTTTTATTGGCTTCCGAGCAGTAAACATCTCAGATAATCGAATACTGTCTTTCATTTGGGCACCCATTTTTCACTGTTTTTACGTAAACTTAGAAGTGTGATTTTTCTACAGCTTCAAGGGACCGTAGATTTGAGTACATGTTATTAATACCTCGATACCTCACTGCGTTGCCGAGATATTGGGTTTTTTCTTATCAACTTAGAAGTTAGATCTTTGCTCAGCTTCAAGGGACCATTGAGCTGAATATTATGGTTTAAATTTCAATTTGATACATCCACGCGTAGCCTGGATAAAGGGTCTTGACAGACAGACAGACAAACAGACGGACAGAAGGACAGGCGGACAGAAAGACAGATGGAGAACAAAGTGATTATATAAGGGTTCCGTTTTTTTTTTGAGGTATGGAACCCCAAAAGTGGGCTTAACTAAGAACTAGATAAATGGTAGTCAAATACTCTTCTAGAGTTTCGACGGTTAGAGTACACACGTAACTTGCAAGCAATGTAAAATAACATGTTTACTAGCTGTCCCAGCGAACTTCG